TGCGGAGAACCAAAGTCTATCTATACTTTGGCGCGTGTATCTACACGATACCATCTACACCGTATTATTCGCACCCTTGTTTCCAGAGTAGATATCTTGCGTCTAATCGATAACGCCTAACCTCTGACCTATTATCACAACTCGAGTTCTTCTCCGTTACGAGATATCGTTTCGCGGGACTTAGTCTGTGGCAGTTTCAGTGAATCGTTCGATAAATCCCTTCGAGATACGCGACGATTAAAGACGCCTCGGTCACTAAGACTCACTGATCCTTCGTTCTAAAGTGCCCCAACAGTCGTTACAATTTATAGGATAAGTTACATAGTGATATGAATTATACCAAGTGAAATATATTCGGCAAACTAGAAAATCAATTTAACGTACACAATCCATTGACATCCAATTACAGCGACTCAACTTTCTTTTCTCTCGACATCGACGGTCTTCCTTTTGTTTCGCCGTTTTCTTTGCTTCGTTAAATATTTATTAAAATCGCGGCGGGACTCGCTGTTTTCTCGTGACCCTTTTAATTGCACGATATAACTCGACTTCACGCGTAGCGAACGCGAGATGGCCCTCGAAATGGAGCCGTTGCGACTAAAGAACTTGCTACTTTGAATCACAAAGTAGACTCGCTACTTAGACGCCGTATCCTTAATTTCTAATTGATTACGAAATCCCGTGATTCCCTAATCGCGGGGACACATTGTAAGTCGCATAATTCACGCTTGGAATCTTGGTCAGTGGAATAGAGCGCGGCGAACGTGCACGAAATCTTGATTAGTCTAATTCTCCTCCAACACTTTACAAGCTCGCCAGGTTTACATGCTCCCGTTGTAAGACTATGCGCGCAACCTGATGCACGATAGGTGTCTGAAACATTCTGCTGACTCATATGTATATCGGCTGTAGGGTCAAGGCTTTTCTTACGTCCACCTCGGCCAGCCATTCGGAATAACGCACTGGTCGCACGATGCTATCGCCAAACTAATTCGTACGAATCATCAATGAGCTTGGTCAGACGGCGCTTTTGCGGCGCGGGAGGCTATTTATTTCCCTTAAAGTGACAGAGATGAGACGCGGTTCAGATAACTCACGAACAGCCGATTTGTATCGCCATCTCTTTGTATTATTGTAATTGGTCTCATTACTGTCTTTCTAACCAGTGCTTTTTATCTAACGCGACGCTAACGGAAGCCCCAGTAATTTCAAACGATCTTGATCGGTCGAACCGCTCGGCCAAAGGTCGCTCGTATGTATGCACTTGGTCAGGTCAACGTGAACGGTGTCTTTTATCGGGTCAAGGCGCTGCTGTTTCGCAGATCCCCAACTTTTTCGCTCGTATCGAGAGTAACGTATCGTCATTGAAATTCAGAAGCAAGATAGCGCTTTTACAAGATGCGCGATAAATATGGACTGCTGCGCGATATCACGCAGCTGCAGAAAACTTCATTCTAACTAAAATAACGCGTCACTCAAATTTATCCATCCACGATGGAGAATATTAATAGGAAGTTTCGGGGCGCTTAAAAATCCACTCGGCTCAAATTTTCTTCTTTTTAACTGCAATTATATTTTTTGTATAATTATATGTTTTTTCCTCTTCGTCTTTCTTCGTGCCATTCTCTTCTTTCTTTATCTCTACCTCTCTTCCCCTCTCTCTCCATTATGCAAAAGAGACTTCAACGTTTCGACATATTTAAGTTCACAGGTTTTCAGATTTCATGCCTTCTCTAAGAAAGAGTATTGTTCAAATTTTAATAAAACTCTGCGCAAAAATATCATTTTATTACTAAAAAAAGCAATTATTCATTTTATTTTTCTTCTTTTGAAGAATGATCATGTCCCTAGAAGAATTTATTCTCTTTACAAAAATAAAATAAAACTTTACCAAAGAAAAGTTTGTTTGACACTAGTACTAAGCAAATTTTTACTTTAAAGGGGTGATTTAGTTTGGAAGGCCGCAAAAAAGTATTTTTCTAAAATTGTTTTAGAGAAATGAAAAAAACTGAATAACGTTAAACTTTTTATTTTCTTTTAACGTTATTTTAAGAATATATTTTTAATATTTAAATAGCAAAAAATGATCTTCTCTTTTACATGTGCATATCCTTTTCTCTAGTCTTTTCTCTCTCTCTCTAATCACTAGGAGCTCTCAAAGAAAAAAACACATACAAACGATGTAAATAATTCTAATTCTCTTACGTATCTAAAACGCAAACACTAAAAGTTTCCTTATTGAGGAGCAGTATGGCTATCTTCTTAAACTAGAATTAAAACAATATTGTAATTCTACGCAAAATGGCGATCTTTTTAGTGCAAAATTTTGTTTTTCCTTAAAATGTTAGTGTTTTATTAAAAAACAAAAGAACTAATAAACATATAATGTTAATTTAAATGATATCCACATTCTTTTGAATATTTTTGGTTTTTGCATTTCCAACACTTGGGAGAACAAAAATTACTTACACCGTTTCATATGCGTTTTTTTTCTGCAAGCTTCTAGTGATCAGAATATAATATATAAAGAAAGAGCATTTTATTACTCTTAGATAATAAAATATATTCTTAAAATAAGGTTATAAAAAAATATGTAAAGTTTGACGGTATTCGGTTTTCTATTTTTTACAAAAAATTCCGAAAGAAATACTTTTTGTGACCTTTCAAACTAGAATATTCTCTGAATATAACATTCTTGATTGAAATGCTAAATTTATAAGGATTCAAAATATATTATGAATAAATCCTGATATATTTTGAATGAATCATTATATTGAAAAAAATTCTTGATAGTTTCGCGATTGAAATATTTTGTGGATATTATGAATGAACTTGAAACAAGTAAACATTTACTTACATGCAGTATGTATACTGTTGTGTGCATAAATAAAGTATTGATGTTCGCGAAAGAGAGCATTTTGCAATTTTATTTCCATCGTGTCTATTACGGTGAATACATAAACAAAGTGTTTTGCGAAACCACCCTTGTTGCGAACTTCCCCTGCACCGAACACAAGTCACGACGACACGAATGAAAAAACTGCCGACACACAAGCGCGATTCGATTCCGCCTTTCTTTCTTCCGTCACTCTCTCCCACTCTCTTTCTCTTTCTCTTTCTCTCTCTCTCTCCCCCCTCTCTCTCTTTCCCTACCGTTCGTTCCAATTAAAGCACGCAGCGATTTGCGTAATTGCGATCCGTAGATATCGCGAAGATATTGCGTGATACGATCAAGGTCGCCGCCGTACGCGGCTTCGCGTGATCCAAGAGCAGGCGCTGGTTCGAAGTAGTTACGTACGATCTTGGTCAGCCCGCTGAGCCAAGCAGAAATCGCTCGTACACGGAGTTGCTCTACTTAGCGGAACCGGAATCGGCTGCTGGTCGTTGTGTCTGTTAGATCTCGTAGGTAATGCGAAACGGTATCAGCCCGCGGACTCAAGGGCCGTTTGTTTGGCTGACCGAGACCATCCGTATCTACTGACCCGTTAAGTCAAGAACAGACCCGCTGCACTTTATGCCCCGGACCCTCGGGCGTATCTGCCTCTCGCGGTCGTGTATGTCATGCTGGCTGTTACAATATCTTCTCTCGAACTTGTCTTTGGAACAATGCTAATCCCAATATCTATATCAGTTCAGGAGCTCGCGGCAATGTTCCAAGGGCCGGTAACAGATCGCCTTAGCGCTACTAATTTCGAGAAACGCACTAAATGGTAATTACCTGTTGTGCATTGAAAGAAATGTCTCGTAATAATTAAGAAATATAACATTTAGCTCAGTATTTCGGTGCAATATTTGGTAATTACAGATCCTTTCCTAAGTGCAATATTTGCGTATATGTGATAATTGCACAGAAAAAAGAAACATTTTTGTTTGAAAAATTCTTCCTTTTTGACATGTCAATCTTTAGATGAGATGTAGCGCTAAACAAATAACAATAAATTACTTGCAAGAATGCATATTTAAAATGATTCGACGAAGAAAAATCTGTGCTTTATTATTATTAAAAATAATTTTCTTTAGTTGCTTATATATAAAGCTTATACATCAATGATTGCTAATTTGAGTATATTAGTTTCAAGAGATTACTAATATTTTTCCTGTACATGTGTAGTATTAAATATAGTAATAGTTACCGACCGGTAACTCTGGTAATAATTGCAAAAATAATCAATGAAATAAATTCTTCATTTATAGTTGAACTAATTTGGTTTGATAAATGAATAATTTGGCAGTGATTACTAAATATTTCGACTGTTACTAAAGTATTTGATAATTTCGTATATTTATCACATAACGTAATAAATATTATTAAACAATATGATTTTATTTTACAGGTTATTTGACATACGTATAAATTGGTAATAGTCATCAAGTGTATTAGTTATAAATACCAAGACTTGACAACAAATACTAAGTCTTGCTAAGATTATTTGTTAATATTTAAACAATTATTTTATTATATTCGCTTACACACATTTGGTTGACATTTTTATTTCATCAAAATATCCGGTAACTATTATCCAGATTTGATGGTTATTACCAAACTTTTTTCCTTTTATATATATCGTATATTAATGTCACAGTAACAGCGTGTGATCGATACAGATTGCTGCACATATCACCTCTAAAAAGAATTTTCAACATTTCGCAATTTTCCAAAAAAATGTGTTTGCTGCGTCGTATCGTCACGCGTAAGCCGTGCAATAAATTTTTTCCACCCGGAAATCCTTTTGCACAATTTTATAATTTTTCAACATTTCAAGTGGATCGTAAATGGAATTATATCGAGAGATTTGAGTGAAATACTCTTGCTGTTATTTTAATTAATTTAAAAAAGATATTAATTAATTATAAACATTATAATTTGAATAAGAGAAACACTATTCACATAAATACGAAACATCACACACGGAAAATATTTACGGTATAAACAATTATGGCAACTGTGGAACTTTTCTCGTAAGAGGCAGGCGCGAGATGAAATTCTCGTTTGTTTACAGAACTGGCGGCGGCAGTATGCTGGGCGACGTGAACATCTCAGCGATACTGGACTCGTTTTCCATCAGTTACGATAAAAGAGTAAGGCCGAACTACGGAGGTGAGTAGGGATTCGATTTTGTCCACCTTTCGATTACCGAGATCATTCGACCACCTAGGTGTGGAGTCTATATCGTGCGCAAAACTTGTCAGTCTCTCACACGCTCAACGGGATCGTACAACCGAGACGTCTAGAGATTATAACGATCGGTTGATTTTCGCACGGCCGCAGTGCAAAGTGACGCGCGCCGTCAGCAAGTTTTGCGTTCGACGCAAAGCTTTCTCCGTCTCATTGTCTTCTAGTCGTTGCATTCTATTGCGTGAACCTAAAAACATTACCTTGCAGCCAACGGGAATGACGGAGTTGAGCGATGAAAGAGCCCAAACATTGACACACACCGGCAAAATCCAATCAATTGGCGGAACAACGGAAAAACCAGCGCGCGACTCTTTTAATTCCACTTCGTTCGCTGCAAGCGCAGAAAAAAAGAGCTTTTTACGTGTGCTCGGATTAAAAAAAGAAACGAAAATAACCAGTACTGTGTGTCCCATCTTGATGCAGCGCTGAGATAAAAGGAGCTAAAAGTACGCGTTGATAGCGGATAAAACGCACACACACGAACACATCCGCAAATACACAACACACACACACATAGAGGGATAGAGACAGAATTTATCTGAAGAGCAAAAAGAAAAAACGAAATTAAATGAATGAAATCGATATGCGATAAATCATAGGTATAAAACACAAGCTCTCGAATTGCTGTAATAGCGCACGCGACACAGCAGTAAAGCCCCGACAAAACGCTCCGGGAAATATTTTTGACGCCGCTCTTACCATCTCCCACGTTTATACTGCAAAAACGCCCGAGCTCTCTCGAGCATACTACCGCCTCCATAAAACAACTCTGACAGAAACGGCGTGGCACCACGTGCACACACGGATCGCATCCTGTTTCCCGCCAGCAAAGGAGTAATTTGTCGTTTACCTTGCGTCTCTACCGCGGACTACCGAAAAAAGGAATACCGATAAAGTGACGCGGCAGACAGTTCGCTCTGTCGCAAATGGAAAGAGCGATAGGGGGAAAGGAGAGAGAGAGGGAGGGAAGGAGGGAAGAATGGAGGGGGGAGAGAGAGAGAGAGAGCGAAACACAAAATGCCTTTCCCCATCCTCTCTTCCGACTCTTGGCAAATTCGCAAAATGCATACGGCGAGCTTCCGTGAGACTCTCACGCGGACGCGATCACTTTAAATAAATATTGTTTTATCTGTCGTGCGCGGGAGCGGCGCGATTTCGCGGTCGAATAAACGGCATGCTTATAAAACACAGGGATATTAAAAAGCCATTAGGCCAGTTTCGAGTGAGCGCGCTCGCCAGCCGGAAGAGGAAGAGAAAGAGAGAGAGAGAGAGAGAGAGTCAGTCAAGAGCAATTAGTACCTCCCAATGGACGACTCGTTCCACTTTCGCGGATCGGAACCGCGGCTCGCGGTCGGACGCAGTGAGAAAAGTCGCCGCGCTTCGGGCTCGATTCGAACAACAGTGGCGACGGCGGCGGCCGATTATCGGTGCCGGAATGCCACGATTATGATTCATGTCGCGGCGATTTCACCGCGACAAAGTCACATTTTCGGCGGTGGCCTCGTGCAGCCCCGCAGGGCGGGGCTGCAACGCTTCGATAAAACTCGGATCGATGCTGGGAGGCCCCGTGGGTTGCCAGGGGTTACCGTTAACGTATCTCCGCGCCGCGCGCTGCGCGCGGACACGCCGCATCTCGCCTTCGATTGCGATTTTGATCTTCGCGCGCGCGCTTCCCTACCTGTCCCTTCCTGTCTCCCCTGTTCCCTAGTCTCCGGTTCCGGCCTAGATTCTATTCCGAGGGGCAGCGTGCCGCGTCCATATTTTCGGCCACGCGTCGCGAATCGCTAACGAGGACGACACTTGTCTTCATATCGTCGCTTTATTTCGCCAGTCTCGTCGTCCTCCGTCTTGGCCGTTTCGATCGCGGAGAACTCGTGATTTCGTGAAAAACCACTTGACTGCGAATTGCAAAGCTCCTTTGTTTTCGGGAGAAGTTAAAAACACCTGGCCCCAACTGATCGATTCGCTCGCGCGAGATATTCTTGGTTTCACCTGCATTTGCTGATGCAGAAAAGGCGACATGTAAAAGTTAAATAGCGACAAACGGAAAAAGAATTAGCCGAATAATTTAGATCTCTTTGTGTTTTGAAGGTATTTAGAACTATGAGTCGCGAATTTTCTCAGCTGCTGCACAACAGAACGAAATTATACGAGATATCTGACACGACAACGCACATGTGTGTACAGGTTTCCAAAAAAATAAAGATAAAGATTTGAAATATGATTCAGAAAATATAAATAGCACTAAGGTTCTCTCTCTCTCTCTCTCTCTCTCTCTCTCTCTCTCTCTCTCTCTCTCTCTCTCTTCAATCTCTTTTTTCAAGAAGTCAAGCATTATCAAAGTCAATTTTTTGTCTCTTTAATTTTAATTTTTCTCTTTAAGTGTTATTGATAAACTTAATCTTTAAAAAATATGGGTAAAAAAGATGCAATTACTAAAAATTATGCAACTAGTATGAAATAAAGTCTATTTTTTAATTAATTTTAGATACTTATAAGGCTTTTTTGTTTTAAGCAGATAGATATATAAACTATACATTGTTTACAAAAAATAAAAAATCATAACTTTGTGGATTGGATCATTTTTGCATAATTACGGCCAATTGTTTTTTGACGTATCGTCAACGTGTTGCACACTGAAAAAGATTGGTAATTGTTACTAAATGTATTTAGTTACCGAATTTAATTTAAAAATTCAGTAACGAATATGATAATAATAACGAAATGCATAGTAGATTTGATGTACAAAGGACATTTAATCACAGTCAAATGGATTAAAGATTTTAGTAATAGCTACGAAATATTTAACATTTGTTATCAAGTATTTGATGACTACTATTAGATATTTATGTAGTATTATGTAATGTTATGAAATCATTCAGTTTTGTTTAATAAAATATTTGGTAATTATTAATATTTATCTTATTAACGCAACGAAGTATATTTAATGACTATCAACTGCACTTTTATTAATATGTATATCACAGTATTTGTCGTATATCGACTGTTGTTTCTAATATTTGCTAGTAAATATAGCATTACTGCGCATTTATTGAAAGTTATAAGAATATATTATAGAAGTTATAAGTTATAAGAATATATTATAAGTGTAAAATATATACAAAAATATGTACAGTTTATACAACGTTATAGAGTTCATAAGACTCCAGTTTCTGTTCGATTGAGGTAAAGCATTGAGTGAGTGAGGTCTGAGAAAAGATGATGGCCACTACAAAAGATTTAAATGAAACCACGGACGAAACTTCATATGTGAAGTAATAAAAAACATCGATGTGAAAAATGAAAAATATATAGATATTTTAAAGTAGTTTATAAATAGTATAATACGATAAAATTTTTCGAATAAAATGAAAGAATTAAATAATAAATAAAAAACTTTCATCTCGAGCACAAGTAATAAGCTTTGACAAATATCTCATTTTCTATTGCCAAGATTTGATATTAAACTTGCAGAATGTAGTTAGTCTATTCATCTAAATATATAGTTTAAGCAACACAAATCTTGGTTCTAAAAACTATACATTTTACTTTATATAGCTAAATTATTTCTTAATTATCGTTTTATGTTTGGCCCGCATTAATTGACTGAATAATTTAGCAACAACTATCAAATTTTGATACTTGTTACGAAATCCTTCTATCAGTGTACGTGTGTCTCGCTATTTTTGGCGAGTCGCGAATCTCAGTCATTTTTGGTGAACTCGCGTCCACAGAACTTGTCCCACAGCGTCGTGTGCGCTAATCTTCTTTTGTCAATATGTCGAAATTTTACGTAGTTGTACGAAAAGAGGAACTTTTGTTCAGTTTGATCTACCTGTGCACACATGCGTTATTGTATCAGACACTCTGTGCTTTTAGCACATTATCGCTTAATTGCTCTCACCTTGGTAATTAATTGACCCGCGCGGATTCACGTGAAACAAATAAATCGTTGAACTCGTAAACGAGTTACGTTGCAGCCGTAAACGACAAGTGGCTGCGGGGTCGGAGAAGAGCGTTTATCGAGCGACTTTCAGTAGAACGGCGCGCCTTAACCGATTGGAATTGATCTGGAACATCGCGAGAACACGGCCTTGATTTTCTGCACTCTACGTCGGGAAGAGATACATTAGTAATAACTCACTTTGCAGTAAACCCGGGCACGATCGTAGAGCGTGAAAAGCGATCGTCGCGTTTTCCGTGGGATCACGTATATGGGTTACCAACCGGTAGAACGCAAAAAATCGCGTTAAGCGTATCGCTTCGATTCGTATCCACCGATATCCGCACACACCGCTAGTCTTCAGCATACTGATACATATACGCGCGGGGGATTCGCTGGATACGGAGGTTTTAACATTTAAAATTTAGATCGGTACGGGCATTACGGAAACGGACGCGAATATCCCGGGTGGACGCCGGATAAACACGACGCCGATGCTGCGCGTTCTCCTCGATTCGTGGCGTTTCATTGGATATTCCCCGGAGCGCGGCCGGATTTTCAAACGCGAGCTCTGTCCGCGTTCAAGGCCTGCGTAAAATAACAAAATACGTGACGGGAAACTCAAAGTGTTTGCACTCCATAAACTAGCTTGTCGCAGCCATAAACAACAACTCTCGGCTACCTCGTTTAAAAAGGCGAACCCCGTCGCGACTTCTCGGATTCTCGGGTCAAATGTGTTTGTTGAATCTAATATCTAATGATATAATAACACACATACACACACACACACACACATACACGCGTACATGTAATAACATAGAAGAATTCGTTGAAAATAACAACAAGGATCTATGGGAAACAATTATAACTCAAATATACTGCAAATATCGGCGTACTTTCTGAATTTTGTTAAAGCAGAATCTTACTCAAAACGAGAGCGGAAAGTGGTAGCATTTTTGCTCGAAGTGATAGTGAAAATATTGCCACTCGAAAGTACAAGAGTCAATGTTTTATTCAAGCTTACAGTGGATTCTGATTTTCCATATAAGCGAATTTTTCAATCGATTAGAATGAATATATTTCTATATATGTGTGTATGTGTGTGTGTGTGTGACGATGGAATATACTAAATATACTTTTTAATTTAAAATGAAAATATGGAGTGGTCATTCTATTTTTTAAATGAAATTAACTCCGAGAAATTTAGAGTTCTATAGAGGCAATAGTGAAAATATTGTCGTTCAAAATCACAAAAGTGAATGTTTTATTCGGACTTAGAACAAATTCTGGCTCCTTGTGAGTAAATATCTCAATCAATTAGAGTAAGTATGTTTCTGTGTACATGTGTGTATCTGTGTATATCGAAGAAATATATCAAATTCACTTTTTAATTTCGAGAGAAGATATTCATTCGACGATTTGAAGTGAAGAATTCACTTTGTATGAATAAAAGATCACTCGAATTCGAGTGGAATTCACTCCAAGAAACTTGGAGAGTACTATGAAAGCGATAATGAAAATACTGCCACTCGAAATCGCAAGAGTAAATGTCTCACTCAAGCTTAGAATAGATTCTAGCTCTGTATGAGTAAATATTTCAAATATTTCGTTTCAGAGTAAATATGCTTCTGTCACAATGGAGTATAATCGCAGAAAGATAGGTTGTCTCATTTTTTTATAAATTTGGAAACGTATTTGTCTTGTTCAATGGAAAAATCAGTTTTTCCATTGGGACAATTGGACAGGACGTTCCTAAACTCATAAAACAAAGTCAGACAATCTATCTGTCTACGACTGCATGTGAAATTCGCTCTTCAGTTTCGAGTGAAAATATTCATTTGGCGATTCAGAGCGGAGAATTCGCTCTATATGAGTGAGAAACCACTCGAATTTGTGTGACTCGGTACTCACGCTACTTTTCGAGCGAAATTTCACTTCAAAAAGTTCAGAGAGTACTATAGAGCCGGTGGCTGCGATTTTTCGACGCAAACGCGCGATTATTAATTTCTGCTCCTTTCTCAGTCGCGTCACACATCTCTCATGTATCTTTCTTCTTCCTCTTTTTTTCGAGGTACGTCCTCATGGGCGATCGGTTTGCACGGACACGAGGCATACCGGCCCGTTTCAATTAACTCGATACCACGTCGTCCGTGTGTTTCCCGGTGTGTACGCGAGAACGTCATTGTGAAATATGTGTCCCATATGGGACGTTCCTCGGCTATAGGGCTTTAAAAACATCCTAGAAATGGAAATGAAGATATATCGGTCGAGTGGCGCGCGATGGCGTTGGCAGAGCCGTTGTTTACGAGTCAACTTTATCGCGAAAATGCCAACGTGGACACGTATACGCGCCTGTATTCGCCACCCCTTCCGGCCACCCCGCCGACGGCCATCGCGCCGCTCCCTCGGCAGCCGGTTCTTTCCATCTGCACTTGGCTTTCCGCCCTTTTTCGCCCTGTAGATGAAATTTCGCCCATAAAGTTTTCTACAGTGAGATACCGCCCGATCGGGCGCGGATTACATTTTTCCGCTTCGTCTTTGCGGCCGATCAATTCGTGCCTCGCATCTGGCGCGGTCCATTGAAATTCTCACGAACCCTCGTAAGGTCGGCGAGTTTAGATTTCGCAAAGATTACGAGCGGGTTAGCGTATGTCACGTCTGCTGAAATACGCGCGAGCGTAAACGATCGCTCGGCTGTTTTAATAGATCACGCTCTCACATTTCATTTTATTTGCGAATTCTCCGATTTCACGCGTTGGTAATTTCAGTGTCCTCAACTGTGGTGCGGTAAAATTGATCTTTGATGAATGGGTCAAGATTAGCACAAAGAGAGAAAAATGATGTTCAGCGTGAATAATTCTCATCGCATTCAATCCGATATAACTGATTTAAGAGATGCTCGCTTATTCCCTCTCGTCGAGCGCAAACTAATGTAAGTGTGATGTGAAACACAAAGGTCCCAGCGCTGCATAGGAGGAGACTATAGTGCAGCCCACGAAACTTCGTCCGTGATCGTGAGGACGACCGAGCACACGTAAATTAGCGCGTACAGATTATTACCGGACGTCGTCTAATCGAGAGCGATTACCACTTTCAGCAATCCATTCAACGTAGTGACATCACTAACCCCATGCCCATTTCGCATTCACAGTAAACTCACGGAACGCTACCGAACACAAAAACGAAAGAAAGCAATATATGCGCTTATACACGTGATATATGTATATAATCGCAATTAATGAACCGAAAAATGCCATATATATAGTCACTCTCATCCGTGTAGCTTGGCCGCGGCCGGAAACCGGCGACTCAGTCTTACTAACCTTCGATTTCAGGTCCTCCCGTCGAGGTGGGCGTCACCATGTACGTCTTGAGTATCAGCTCCCTATCCGAAGTGAAAATGGTACTACCTCTAGGTCTTATTCAGTAATTCCACTGAAACTTACTCATTTTTTACTATCGTTCGTCTACAAAGAGAAAAAAGAAACAAACACGATCCGTCCCCGCCCGCTCGCCCCCATCGCCCCGCGCGCCCTTTCCCCCACCGGTCTCTTCGCCCAAGCAACCACACTTTTTTAGTGCCCGTGTATTTTCAAGTCAACGATTGCCGCTGATCGTTATCGAATTGCAATCAGCATCTAATTACTTGACACACACACACACACACACACACACACACACACACACACACATGCACAGTCATACTCATATCCCTGGAGACTCACACGCGACGACACGGATGCGTAGTCGATTACACCCTGAGTGCGATCCATTAGACGCTGCAAATACTTTGAAGCATTTGTATGGATCAATCATGACGTTTCTTTAAGCGCTTCAAAATATATGCGACGTCTAATGGATCACACTCCCTGTCTGTACCATTGGCATATGAATATCTGAATGGAGCGTGTTAATTTAGGCATGGAAGATAAGGCACTAATCCGCGGTAAGGGGAAGTTATGGCACTTTGAAGCATTTATTGATTAAAATTTCTTTTGATTAAAATAATCGGCAAATCGATAATCAGGTTTGATCAATCGTCATATATATACACACAAATATAATTTAATTGTTTGATGAAATTAATTTAAATGATCAATGAAATTATTAATTGCTGTACACACACATCGATCATATCATAATTTGGTTAGTAATTGATTTCTTCAATCGATGAAATTATTTGTGATTTTAAATTTTGATTTTCTGCATATAACAATAGTTTATCCTTCACAGCAAATTTCATACAAAAAATTTTAAAATTTTCTAATCTCACATTTGTTTCAAATTGTTATATGAATGTTGTACACCATTTAAAAGCATCTGATGCCACCACGTTCAGCACGAAAAGTTCAGAAATTTCATTTTTTTTTTATAAAAAATTAACTTATACTTAGTTATTAGTTTATACTTAAAACAATGATAAATGATATGGTTAAAACTCTATTACATCTTGATATATTTACTCTTTTTAAGAAAAAAATTATAAAATATCACATTTTTTGGTTATTTAAACATTCCCTTAATATTCAACGCTGACTTCAGATTATTCGGATCACACGTACTTTATGTACATCTTAATCAATTTACATCTTATAACACATTGATAATTCGCAATAAACTGACGTAGCATATTTGCAAAGACGTTTTCAAAATTGTCCCAGCGCGAGCTGGTACAAAATCGAATATATAAGAAGCCGCGGCGGAAGTATCCAAAGTATTATAGCTCTGCCTTTACCGTTAATTGAACCTCTCCCTCGTAGAATGCTCCGTCCAGACATCCTTATGTCGATAGTCTGTACATACACGCGCACACGATTGTGTCACATCCCACCTGTTGTTTTTCTTATGTTTTTTCAATCACTCTCGCAACAAATGTCCGGCTAGAACGTTTACGATTATGCAGTCACGTGTACAAAGTCAAAGATCACATCACGCAATATAATATTCACTTTATCTATGCCATGTGTGTTTGTAGTTTTAATTAAGACACGTGAACATCCTAGTGTCTGTCGCCGAGAAAGCAGGTATTCGAGAGTATCGGCGCCACGCGTTCAGGTAAACGGTTTATTTCGAAAATCATTACAGAGACGACGAGAGATAGAGGAAGAAAGGGGGGAGGGGAGAGAGAGAGAGAGAGAGAGAGAGAGAGAGAGAAAGAGAGAAGAAAAATTGACACGATTGATCACGTTGATAATCGACATTTGCATCTGTACACTAGGCTGTAAAGTTTCTCTCTCTTTCTCTCTCTCTCTCTTTCTTCATTTCTTTCTCTCTTTTTCTTTCTCTCTCTCTTTCTCTCTCTCTCTCTTTCGCTTTCTCTCTCTCCCCTCCTTCTCGGTCGGCTCGACGATGAGTAATCCGTAAATCACTTGGTGCCGTTAATCACGCGCTAATTGGGGCGATACTTTGAACGAGTCGGAGCCGGGTCCTCCAATAAACGACTCGTTGTTTAATACGTCCGCCGAAGCGTAAATTATCTCCATTGCCAAACGATCGTCGTCGTGATTATTTTGCTCCAAACGCGCGCATAACGATCGATTAATTGCAGCTCCACGGGCCCGCGGCTTTAATCTCGCCCTCGTTCCGGCGCCACGAAGGAAACTTGGTCCTCGGGATGACGAAACGATTGGGACGTGGGCTCTCGTCGACGCGGTTCCTCGATCGGCGCGCGCCCCGGTAATGAAATTAGTTCGCTTGCCGTGCACAGAGCCGTATTGCTCTGGGCTATCTGCCTCTTTGATGTGCCGTTCGTTTAGCGACGACGTTTGGGACCGCGACAATCGTGTAACACGATTACCGGGACGATTCGCCGACGCTCACTCCGAGGGACTCCGCCGCCACGGCACGAGACGACGTCCAATTTCTTGGCGCGTTGGCTCCGGGACCAATTGAACGCAACAATTCGGAAGAGGAGCAGTCGGCACCACGCGCTGCGTCGATGTCGCGAATATGCGTCGCGAAACGAACATATTTCGGCTTCTTTACCGATTCAGTGGTCCATGGAACTCTTATAACTCGGCTTTTTTGTGACGTTTAACCCTTTCAACTCGAATTAATTCTATTCGCAAGAACAATTTTTTTCCCTATTCATTATTGTTCCTAGTAATGTAAAGATAATAGCTAATTTACATTCATAATTTTACAATAAACCATTTTAAAGAAATCAAAATGTTTCAGAGAAACATTTCTTTGATATGCCGCATTATTTTTAGTGCAAACTATACTTACTTTACATAATATGTAAAAAACTATACTATACTATACTATACTATAAACTATACTATACTTACTATACTATATGTAAACTATACTATACTTTGCATAATTTTCTACTTTTCATACATCGCAATAATGCACGAGGATATTTTGTATAGTTTATTTTTAAAATAAATGAATGCAATATTAGCAAATTGCAATTATTTATGAAACGGCCAGCGTTAAAGTGGAGAGACGACAAGTGCTGACAATTTATTAGTTTTTACTATTACAATTAAGTGATAAGATTAAAATCTTGTAGAATCGTGAGAGACGGAGTTTAACAGTTTGGTGGCGAGAAATATCAATTAGTTTGGATCGATTCGAAATATATGTTGCCTCAGGGCAACGATGGGTGCGAAAGGGTTAAACAGTTCAAAAAAGCCAATTTGTGAAAGAGGCGAACATTCCGCGTGCCAACGCGCTTCGACGACTTGTTAATTGCATCTCGCGATCTCCAAACACGCGGCAAACTTATGAAATTTATGTCGCTTGATTATCGAGAAGATCAAAAAGGATTGATCCGTTGGATTTGGAGGATACTCCGACAGTACTTTTCAAATTATGTTAACATCGTTTGATATCCAATCTTTCGGATCTCATATACGTCGATTGATGATTCACTAAAAAGGAGGAACGACAATTTGGAGCATGTTCGGTCAAATTTTCGCGTAAGCCGTTGTATCATCCTAGTCAAAATGCGTCAACTTCTCCTCGCCTCTGTCACACATACACACACACACACACACACATGGCGAAACTCAACTCGCGCATCCCGCGATATGGCCATTTTATTGTCCGCAATATACGCGAAAATAAGCGTCACGAGCGCCGCATAAAAATGCCAATTTAGCGTTCCACGCAGTAAGACGCGCTTAATTTCGCGTTGACGCACAGTAGCGATTACGCGACATGGTTTACCTCCTGTACTTCGAAACTATCGAAATGAAGCCAACCGAGCCAAGTCCCCTAACTCGCTTGATATATTGTAGTTCCTTCATGGCCCGTCCGCTTATCGCGGTGCCGCTTTACACCGACGCAGAATTGAGTGTGCGCGTGTATGACCTTACACTCTGAACACATACGCACATACATACACACACTCTGCGTACACATACACACACACACACACACACACACACACACAGAGAGACTCTTTAGTAGCGAGCAACTGAAAAAAAACTACCAAAAATGGACAAAGTACTATTTCATTTTTCAGATAATAAATATACATACATATATATATATATATATATATATATATATATATATATATATACACACTGGCTGTCCTCGTTCTGCGCTCGGGAAACGGGGCTGTAGTTTCAGCGACTGGTAATCGCGAGATTGTGCAGAGTGCGACTGCAGTCGCGGATCGAGCTAAATCTAGCGAGAAAAAAAAGAAAAAGGGAAATAACCCTCAGATCGTTCTAAATTATTGCGAGAAAGATCTCCATTCGCGAAGCGCAAGCCGGGAGGATTTATTTCAAGGGAAGAAGAGGGAGAGAATGGGGGAGTGCTCCCTTTCCTTCGGACGTTTGCCGCGTGAGAAGCGAATTGTATTGACGGCGAAGACGCTATTAAAAGTTTCGATGTTAGAGACGGGGAGAGGTACCAAGCGGGGAAACGCGAATCGGCACCGGGACGAGCTTCCAGTTGCCTCGACTGCCTCCGTTTACCGTGGAAAAGTTAGCTCTCTGATCTCCTGCCTGACTCTGAGCCTGGGCTGCCTCGAACGTCACGTAGTGTTAGAGAGAACGTGAATGAGGAGCGTCTTTATTGCTTTCTGCTCTCAGGGAAAATAGTATTTTGTTCAATACTGAATACATATATATATATATATATATATATATATATATGTATATATATGTATATATGTGTATATATGTATACATATATATATACATATGTGTATATATATATATATATATATATATATATATATATATATATATAT